TTTTTTTATTTATGCTATGTCTGAGTCACCCGTTTGCTAGCCCACTTCGTAGACACGTACGTATGATTAACTTTCCACATTTTAGCAATTGTACGTGTTCCCATTTTCACAATTTCAACGAACAAAACGAACAGTTTTAAAGAAAAAAATGCAGTTATCCACAAACATAATCAACGTTAAAAATGCTAAATTGGGAAATTCAAAATTGTTACATTAAATAAGTAATATGCACAATGGCGGCGTTGCACAAAGGGGCCCATTACAAGTAGGCGCCGCTGTAATGCATTTCTCATGCAACTTGTTCCTACTGGTCTTTGATAATGCCAACTATGTCATCATCCCTGTAGACAAAAAATTCTTCCCCATCGATTTTTAAGGAAGAACCACCATATTCCGGCAAAACAACAACGTCGCCTTCCTTCACACTAGGGGGGACTTTGCTTCCATTGCTCGTTATTCTTCCTGGTCCAACTGCCAAAACCTGTAAAAAGCGGCATGAAACACATGAATCGGTTAAATAAAACTCAAACTGAGGTACACATCAACGGGAAAAATGAAAGAAAGCTAGGGCGCTACGTTTCAGTTTGCACAGTTTTGTACGGCGGAGGGTACCTTGCCCGTGTAGGATGGTTCCGTTGCACTTTCAGGCAAAAAGAGGCCTGATTTCGTCGTAGTCTTGGGAACGATTTTACTTATCAAGATTCTGTCCATCAGGGGAATAAACTTTTTTGCTACCGTGGAACTCTGCAAAGGGGTTGCTTTTACTATATGTATAAATTCCCTGTATGGGACAGACTCGGCATATACGTACACCTTGCATATTTGGCGAACTCTTTGTGTTAACAAAAAATGGGTAATATTATATACATTTTTGATATGTATATGCAAGAGAAACGCGCTTCATTATGCTGCAGAAAAATGAGCACGCTTCTCTGCGGATACACAACTGTGCATATTATGTCCTCTTTGTTGCGGAATTACCATTTTTGACTCCTGTGTAAAATATCTACAAAGTATGAAAAAATCTGTGTTGCGAATTCTTTGATGTATAATGTCCCTTTAATTACTTCCAGGTAATTAATAAATGGCGTTTGAAGAAAAGAAGTTTATGTTTTCTTTGCCTCAGCTCCTGTTTACATATAAATGATTCGCATACGTTTGTTCTTATAAAACTGAGTAAATGTTACCTTTTTGGTTGATAAAAAAAAAAATATAGAGCAATATATGTACGTTACTTTAATGATATTATTTAAACACTTCTGTCGCCTTCTTAAGGGAACTTCTTATACGCGAAACATGTATTGTGTAAATTTGAAGGCATATAAAAATTTTCGATTTTTTTTTCTTTTTGTATTTTTGTTAGCACTTTGAATAGTAAAATATTATATATGCATCCCTCAAGCTGATCATTTTTATGTATTTATTTTTTTACTATGGGGACGGGTTAAAGGATACCTTTCAATATGGCCTCTAAACACGCAGATAAATGTATGTTCATATGAATGTATACATATTATGAGCACATGCTCCCATCGCAGCCATGCACGCACCTCTTTAGGGACATAGATATAACTGACTGTTTCCGTTAAAATTGTAGAGCACCGAAAAAGTGTACCGCAACGTTAAGCAGGCATACGACGCGGGAGCGCTGCCAGGAAAATTTCTTCTGCCTCTTTCATTTTTTTTTTTATCGTACCCCTCGTTTGCCAATTTGTAATTGATCACATAGTATGTATGCACAAAGTTTTTTTCTTCCCCCTTAGGTGCTAATTTTATCCCATAAATGACACCTTTTTCCTCATGCAACTGTAAGGGTTGCGCAAAGGAACGCCCTGTTAGATGATTTTGACCGAATATCATGCTTTCCCCCTGGGGTTAAATATTACGTATGCCGTATGTGTACATCATCCCACTTCATGTAGGCAAATTCTTAAAAAGATGAAGAGGACTACTTTGCTCCACTTTATTGCCCTTTACATATGCTAGTGATGCACACAGAAAAATAACCAGAAAAATACCTCCCGTAAGTGCCCAAACCGGGTTCATCATTTATATAAAAACGGTTAATATTTACTTAATCGTTTTTACTCTTAAACAACATTCACTTGGTAACGGAAATGTTGGAGTTACGTAAAATTTTAATTTAAAAAAAAAAACAAAAAATAAGGAAGGCACAACATAAAATGTAAAATATGCATAAAAAAAAATAGCTGATTTGTCCCTTTTTTTCTATAGATAATTTACATATTATGAGTAAAATTATGCGCGCACACACAAAAAAAAAAAATGGTGGAATTAATTCAACACTTGCAGTTTGATCCAAATTGGTATGAAGAAGCTTTATAACTTCTGCTTATTCCTTTCGCGCGAGCACACACATATATATAGAAGCATCCATATACACGCATCCATATAGACACATCCATATACATGCATACATATTTATACCCATTTATGCATCCACTTGTCACATGTTGGCTCCGCAGCGAGTGGAAAAGAGACCTTTTGTAACCCCTTCCGGCCCGCATTATCCGAATTTTCCCTTTTTTTACTCCAAATTTACACGTTTTTTCCCCTCTGCAGCTACCTTTCAATCTTCCAGGTACGCAACGTCTGGCACCCACCAGGGAAGCAAAGTCATGAAAAACATGACAACCGACTGGTAAATATATTTTTCGAACTTCGTTGGCTTCCGTCTCGCGTTCATGGTGTTGTTATTATCCCCCTCCTCTGGTGTGCTGTGAGGAGGTTCTTTTTTCTTCTTCGATGCGGAAGAATCGCTGCAGTATGATTGCCCACTGTCTATGTTATTCTCCGAGTTGTCACTATCGGAGTTGACAAATTCACTCATACTGTTATTTAACAGATTGTTAAATGTCGTGGAGCTGTCGTGGAAATACATCCTGTCGTTATTGCGCGTGTTGCTTGCGCTATCATTACGCGCATTGCTACTGTCGCCATTAAGATCATCAATGTTGGCGCTCTTCTGATCACTGCTGCTAATATTTTTTCGTCTTCTCACACCAGCGGATAGGAGATTCCCCGCGTGGCTACTATTCACGTCGCCACTATTCGCGGCACCAATTTCGCGAAAAAGCTCATCCGTAACATCGTCCAAGTAGCTTCTATCCCCTTTTCCATTTAAATTTACGGATGATGTAAATTCCTCATAGGAATTATTTTTTACGTTTAGTTCAGTTTCGTGTGTCTTCTGATCGATCTTTTTTTTTTTAAAAAAAAGGAAACGTCTTTTTTTATCTTTGTCTCCACATGTTGCACTGGCATTATGCTCGCTTCGATGTGTCTCTTTCGAATTATCATCATTAAGTTGGTAATTAAATTCGTCATACATCTCACTTACAAATTCGTTATCCTCTGCATCTGGAGGATCTCCCTCATTCCATGCAGCATGAAGGGGATTTGTCTCATCATTAATGGAATTCATAGGATGCAACGCAAATGACGATACTTCTTTCCGTTTGTTCGTTTCATTATCGGTGGTGTTTTCTTCGCCCTCACTCACCCCTCCGTTGTCTAACTCTTCTTCTGCGTCTGTCCCGTTTTTCATACACTGCAAACCGCTTGCGAGGTGGTGACAGTTATTTTCCTCCATAATTCCCCCCTCTTGCTGACTAACCTGGTGCGCTCCTTCATTCAAGTTACTTCTTTGTGCTGTGTGTTCGTTACTCAGCATATTATTCATATTTCTCGATTCGCTCATGCGTCTTAGAACCTGTTCTATAGATTCGTTGCTTGACATAAAACTAAAATTGCTAATTAGGAGGTCGAAAAACCCTCTGTTGTACAGGATAAACAACCCAGAAACGATAAAGTACATTTTTGCACTTGCTTCAAATAAAAATAAAACAAATAATATTTTCAACAAAAGGAATAGGTGAAACCTTTCCATGATATCCATAATGTAGTTATTAAAATGGGTCCTTTGGTTCGTCTGGTTGGTACCATTTGCTTCGTTATTCACTCCGTCGTTGTTGCTTTCAGCGTTGTTATTACTACCATTATTTCTACTTTCTATATTTCCGCTCGCGACTTCCCCATTGAGATCGCCGTTCAATTTATGTTCGCCTTTATCCCCTTTGTTCTCGATTAACTGTACGCTTTTTAAAAATTCCTGGTCCTCCTTTGATTTAATTAATGTGTCAATAAAATAATGTTGGGAAGTGACATTCTCACTTAGGTAGTAATCTCCCGTTTTGTCCTTTATGGATGAAACGATGTTATTATGAAAATAGATATTTTTTATTTCATCCTGATATTTTGACAGTCGTCTTGCATAGGTTAGAAGCAAAATTTTATAAATCCTCGTTTGCTCTTCTTTCGACTCATCTTTCACTTTGCTTTCTCCTTCCATTGTGTCGACGTAGTATGGTGTAATGGTCACTAATCCCCGGTGGCGGCGCAACTAGCAGATCAATCGATAAATACACTCGCATGCAACGGTAACAGTGCGAGGCGAACAACAGAAAAAGCTATCACATGTATAGGGATGTGCCTGTACTTGAACGCATAGAACATGCGGCACAAACTGGTAACCCTCGCCACTTCACAAACTAGTACACAACCCCACTGCACATGGTTCGGATGTCCCTCTCCGAGTTTCGTATTTTTATTCACATGGATATTTTTAAAATGCTCACAATATTTTTCTATCTCGATATGTACGCATATTCATTCAAGTAGGAGTGAGCGAAGGGGATCACGTTGCATGGGCCGCTGATCTGCACGCCCACAGTATAGGATATGCTTTAAAAGAATGTGCCGTGTAGGTATGCATAATAAAGTTCATTCGGGGTCTACAGACGGGCAAAGAATGGAATAAAAAAGGGGGGCTTCTGGGGGGAACACAGCTAATGACACAATGGAGGTGTAATAAAAGCGTAGACCGGGCATAAACGTGCTTGTGTCATGTCACACCCAAAGCGTGATCACATGAGCATGTTTCACAAACACGTTCGTGTCCACCCCGGCCTGTCACGATAACATGTGCCTACGGAATGTGCATGTTTAAA